CATGGGGAAATTCCTGCTGGTGTCCCCCCTGAGCCTGCCCTGCCCCAGCCTGAGCTGTTCCCTCTCCTCCTGTCCCTGTTCCTGGAGCAGAGCCCGAGCCCCCGGCTGTCCCCTCCTGTCAGGAGCTGTGCAGAGCCACAAGGTCCCCCCTGATCCTCCTTTTCTCCAGGCTGAGCCCCTTCCCAGGTCCCTCAGGAATTCTCCAGCCCCTTCCCAGCTCCCTCAGCCTCTCCTGGGGCTCCAGCCCCTTCCCAGCTCCCTCAGCTGCCTCTCATAGTGCTGGGATCAGATTAAGTTGCAGAAGGCCAAACTGCCCTCCGAGACATGGCTGCAAATCTGAAAAGGCTCCTTGGCCCATTGGCTTCAGCCTGATTTTCTCTACAGCAGCAGGTTTGTGACTGTCACCTGTATTATATTAATTTCTCAGAGCCACGTTTTTATTTGGGAACATATTGCCCATTGAAACTGAGAGCAGGGTGCTGGATTTCTTTTCCTGGTTTGTTGAGTGTCAGAGAAAAATACCTACAAATTGTGTGTGTGTGTGTGCTCATTTGTATCTGCAGGGTTTTTGGGCTTTTTTTTTGGTTTTGTTTTTTCTCTTTTGTAAAAGAGAAGAGATTTTGATAACAAATCTTTGCAGCTCAAATAACAAGAAAAGCCATCAGCCCAGATTATACAATTCCCAGTGAAATGAGACTCGGAGAGGCCAGCAAGGAGATGATGAGGGCTGTACCTTTCCAGGTCATCAATTTGTCTGTGGGTTCATTTTCCCTCTAAAAAATGAACATAACAATACTCCTCAGATCCACACTAATGGATGATTTGTTATTTGTGAAATGGGAATGAGTTTCTGCAGAGAAATGCTTCCACAGAAAGAACATTTCCCAAACACTTAGTGATGGATTTAATTCTTTCCCCCTGTTGCTCAGGTACTGCACCGACAGTGGCACGGAGGATTGGAGGAGCCTGATCCCATTTTTCACACAAACATTTAATGAGCTGCATTGCATCGCTCTCAGCCTGTGCCTGTGCATTCCTGCAGCCCATCCATTGGGGCCTGACAGCTGAGTCAGGGCTGGAAAACTCCCATAAATCTGCTTTAGTGCCCACTGGTGTTTAGCTAACAGCAGAACATAATCTCATTGGAGATTCAAATTAAATCATTGCATTTCCCTGCTTTAATAAGACACAATGAACCCGTGTTGTGGCTGGGTCTGGGCTGCTGCCCGTTGGCAGCTCAGTGAAGTCTCTGCCTGAGCGACCTCGGCCGGACCCAGCACACAACTGTTGTGTCACAGGATCATGGAATGGTTTGGACTGGGAGGGATAAAGCTCATCCATGGCCAGGGACACCTCCCACTGTCCCAGGCTGCTCCAAGCCCTGTCCAGCCTGGCCCTGGGCACTGCCAGGGGTGGGGCTGTGTCCCCCAGAGCACCCCTGAGACGCTGGTGCTGACACAGGGCAGGAGCCAGGCTGAGCACCCTGCTGCCAGCTGGGCAGCGCTGGCTTTTCACTCCCTTGCCCAATTTTAACAGTGCAGGAGCCCTGGTTCATGGCTACAAACCACACCCAATTTCCACCTGGGAAAATGGATCTAAATCCAAATCCACAGCAACTCCAGCCTCAGCTCAGTCCCTTTCCTGAGTGTTTCTCCTGCTCCTGTCTCTGGGTGGGACCCGGCAGCAGTTGCCACAAGTCCCTGCTTGGTTGCCAGCAGGCAGCAGCTGACAGAGCTCCCTGTGAGGGGCCTCAGTCAATTACCCATTAATTAATTAATTACCCACCCATTAATTAGTTGTTTGGGTACACACAACAGACGGTACTTTGGCCCTTATTAGCATATGAGATTTTATAAACAAAATATGTCAGCAAGAGCAAACAGGACTTTGAGGATTAAATCAAGATTACAAGAAGATTCAATCTGAGGGGTTTACTGGAAAAAGAAAATTACATCAGACTTCTGCAAGCAAGAGATGTTTAAAATGTATATGTTTCTTTATGTGATCTTTAATGCAGTTATTTTAGTAAAACATTACTAGTCTCCCTAAAATAGTATATAAGCATTTGTATCCCACAGTAAAATTGGATTCTTTGACCACCTCAAAGTCTTCCCTGTCTCTCTTTGCTGATAATTAAGAAGCTCTGCTTTATGTATTTGAAGAGGAAAATAAAAGGCCCTGACAATTTGCTCACACTTGAGTGCTCTGTTACCCTCCAACAGAGACTGATGGCTGGGAGAGCATTTCCCTGCACTAAACCAGCTTGCAGCAGCCCTGCCTGATGTGGGCTCTCACTCCCAGCCCCTTCGCTCCTTCACGAGTGGCATCACCTCAGAGCAGCGAATTGGGAAACTCAGAGCCAGAGGCTGCTGGATTGGTATGGACCGACAAAAAATGTTCTGGCTGGTGAGACAGCACCCTGGCCATCCCTGGGGAGAGCACACTGCTCCTCCCGGGCACCTGCCAGCTGCTGCTGAGGAGCACAAACAACTGCATGAGTTGCTTGAGCCGAAAAAAAAATCTAGGGTATATATATATATATATATATATATATATATATACACACAATAAATATAAATATATATGGTTTATACAGAGTATATATGTATATATGTGATTTTATTTCATATAAATATAAATAAATAATATAAATGTATGGGGTTTTAAATTTTATATATATATACATATTTTATACATATATAAAAATATATATACATGTAATAAATATGTATACACATATACATATTTTATATATGTATATATGCATATACCTATATGTATATTTTATATAGATATGGTTTTATTTCATATAAATATAAATAAATAAATAATATAAATGTATGGAGTTTTATATTTTATATATATGTATCTTTTATATATGTATATAAATATATGCACATATACATATATATACATTTATATACACATACATATTTTATATATGTATATGTATATATGCATATACCTATATGTATATTTTATATATATATGATTTTATTACATATACATATAAATAAATAATATAAATTTATGTTTTTATATTTTAAATAATTTTTTCAATATATGCATAAATTTATAAATAATAATATTCTTTTATTTCGAATTTTATATTTATACATTTATATAACTATATAATATATCATATACATAATCTTTATATAATTATATAAACATGAAA